CCTCCCCTGGCAGCCTGTTCTCCCCCCAATTGCCCTCCTCCGATGAGCCTAATCGCCCACAACTGCCTTCCCTTGCCGGCCATCTTGTGGAGGCCATCTTGTGGCGGTCATCTTTGGATGACGTGAGGGCGTCGCGTGAGGGCACGAGGACCACCTAGGCTTTTATTAGTATAGATAAGCCTTCATTCTATTTGTAGAAACAATTGCCTCCAGGCAATAGATTTGTTTGCTTAGACAAATCAATCTTACAAAATAAATTACAGTAGTCCCCCATTACCAGTGGTTTCGCTTTCCAGCTTCAGTTACCCTCAGTCAACCACAGTCCAAAAATATTAAATGGAAGATTCCAGAAGCAAACAATTCATATGTTTTAAATTTTGCACCGTTCTGAGTAGTGTGATGAAATCACACACCATCCCATTCAGTCCTGCCTGGTATGTGAATCATCCTTGTCCAGTGTCCCCAAGCTGCATATGCTACTTGCCTGTTAGTCACTTAGCTGAATTATCAGATCAACTATCTCAGTATCATAGTGCTTGTGTTCAAGTCACCCTTATTTTACTTAATAATGGCCCCAAAGTGTAAGAGTACTGATGCTGGCAATTCAGATTTGCCAAAGAGAAGCCATAAAGTGTTTCCTTTAAGTGAAAAGATGAATAAAGTACAAGATGATGTTTTGAGAGAGACAAACCACATTCAAATAAGTTTTATTATAGTATACTAGAGGTTCAGTGCACAAAAATTTGTACACTCGGGGGTGTCCCTCAGCCTGGCCTGCACCCTCTCGCAGTCCTGGGGTCCTTGGGGGATGTCAGACTGACAGCTTAGGCCCACTCCCCACAGACATCCCTGTGGGAAGGCACTGACCACCAGGGGGTAGCTCCGGCCCCACCTCCCAATGCCCTGCTGCCGGTGGCCTCCCTCTGTGGGAGACGGCTGCCCCCCCCCCCATAGCCCCTCTACCACTGTCCTCCCCATCGCCGTCCCCTCCCTCTGCCCACTGGCACCCGCTTTGGATGGCCGGGGCCGCCGACTCACAGGCCCCGCCCCCCGCCGACCGGTGGTTCTGCCGTTCAGTTGATTTGCACATTTGGCTTTTATTATATAGGATTGTTAAAATTGTTCTATTTTATTATAGATTATTATTGTTAATCTTTTGTGTCTAATTTATAGATTAAACTTTATCATAGGCATGTATGTACTGGAAAAAGTACATGTAGGCTTTGGCACTATCTGCAGTTTCAGGAGGTCCTGTAACATATTGGTGGTGGGCAAGGGGGAACTACTATAATGATATTATGGGGGGTCTTCCTAATAGATCTGATCTGTGTTCAGGCTTTCCTGGCCGCAATCCACCATTTCTGACATCTGTCCCCTCTGATTTACTTACAAGTTTTATTTTACTATCCTAATCCCCAAAGCAACTCAGTTATTCAAAGATCATCCTGTCATGTTAACCTTCCTTTAAGTGAAATGCAATAATGTTGGCCTAAGTGATGGGTGCTCTTCCCTGTGACCCCTCAGTGAGAAACGATGGCTCTCCCTCTCCTCGCTGGTCGTGCCCATCACTTTGACCCTGCATCCAAGCTTCTAATACATATAGCTCCTATAAGCTCTCCAAGGATAGGGGCTGTTCCTTCTTCTCCACCATTCCCAGAATGGCACCTTACACCCAGTATGCTCAAAAAACAAACAAACAAACAAAAAACAGATAGTCCTGGTCAGTGTGGCTCAGTTGGTTGAACTTTGCCCCATGCACTGAAGGTCGCTGGTTCAATTCCCAGTCAGGTTGCAGGTTTGTATGGGAGGCAACTGATCCATGTTTCTCTCTCTCTCTCTCTCTCTCTCTCTAAAAAAATCTTTTAAAAATTAAAAAGTAAGAATAATAATATTACAAGAGACACAAATTAGCATGGACTTATTTATTTAAAATATTTCCTAATCATTCAAGTGCTGACTGTATAAATTATTTATGCCTTTTCCCTCTTCTTTGATGCCATCTCTAGTTATTACAGGGCTCCTAAATCTCCTTTCTAGAGAGTGAGCAGAAAAAATAAAAAGATTTCAATTTTAAAATGTCAATCAGTTCTGTTTCCTGTTAACATGCTTTTTATAATCTATTTATTGGTTATGAGATTTGACGCTACCATGAATAATTAGTTTTTGTAAAGTATTATGTAAAGGGGACATCTGTAATACTTTTAACAATAAAGATAAATTTTAAAAACATATTATGAATTATAATGTCTCCATAACTGAATGTCAGGAAATCTTATTACTCTGTATTTCAAAGGGATATTTTTACACAAATTTGTTATTTCCAAAGATAAGAATTATGTGAGTTCTGCTTACTTGTAATGTTCTGAACACCCCAAAATAAATTACAGTATTTGAATATAATGCCTGGTGAGCAATACTCATGGAATGATATTATCAATCACAAATTAAGGTATAAATAGCATAGCCCCACATTCTCAATAGCCGGTTCTGTGATAAGCAAATACTTTCATCATTTCATTTGTATTAAATCTAACAATGCATAAAGGTATCCAATACCTCCCCAAACCTCCAATCTCACCTCATCTCCAAGACTTCTTGTCGGGTTTCTTCGTATTTTTTCTTCCATTCATTTGCTTCAATCTCTTTAGTGATTATCTAGATTATAATAGAGAGAAAGCTTGGTTTTACCTACTCAATCTATTACAGCTTGAATTTAAGATCGGAGACTTGAAACAACAGTTCCTCCCAAGTCATTCACTTACGTTAGGAATGTAAAACCTCATCATCCATCTAATGCTCATAAACATTTAGAAAAATACTCTTAGCCACATGGGATGCTGGAAACGTAGCCACCAGAGTAAAGGTGAGTAGAACATCTCCTAGGAAAATTCCAATTGGTAACTGAGTTCTCTGTAAATTCAACCTCAGGCCAGGGTCTGGCTCTCGCTCTGTAGGCCTAGAACACAGATTGGGACAAGACACCCAGAGCAGAGCGTCATCTGACAGAGAGTCACTTTAACCCAAGGAGACACCAGTGCACCAATCTTAGTTAGGATGAGAAACGAAACTGCCACAAAGTCAGAGCATTAGAAGTTGGCACGACCAGCATATTCTCTTTCTGCAGAGATTTCTGATTGCTTGATAAAAATAGACTCAGAAAGAGAGAGTCAGAAGTTCAATGCCTCCAGCCAGTGCATCCATCTCACTATAGGCTGTGCAGAACCCATGGGATGCCCATACTAAATGGAAAAGAAATTATCTAAATTCACTGCCTGAAACTCCATTTGCCTTGCACAGGGCTTGGATGGGCACACCTTGTTCTCTTTTTATTTACTTCTCTGTGCTTCTCTCTTTCTAATCGGTACATTTTTACTTGGTGCCTTTAATCAGGATGCCAGAAGCCAGCTTATCTGCTTTGGTGACTAAACACATCTTTCCATCTTTCCTGTGATCCATGAGGGGGACATCTCATAGTTTAACTCTCAGGAGGAAGGTGAAGTCATTTTTCTCATTTACGAGATTGGGCAGGGCGGGGGGGGGGGGGGGCTCCTCACCACTGCACCCAAGCTGACAACAGGATTAGTTGACATCTCTCATTACCAACCTAATGCTATTTTTTAAAATATGTATTTTTATTGATTTCAGAAAGAAAGGGAGAGAGATAGAAACATCAATGATGAGAGAGAATCATTGATTGGTGGCCTCCTACACGCCCTCTACTGGGGATCAAGCCCACAACCCGGGCATGTGCCCTTGGCTGGAATCAAACCTGGGACCCTTCAGTCCACAGGTCAATCAGTGCTCTATCCACTGAGCCAAACCAGCTAGGTCCTTAATGCCATTTTTTAAAGCTTTAAGAGACATGTATCACAGGTACTTAACTACTTTCATCACATTATAAAAATAAAATTGCTCCACCTGCTTTAAAATAGGGTGGAGTCATCAAGTAATACACAAGCCAAGTACATAAACATAGCACAGAAATATAACAGGAGAGGATGATAACTGATTACTAGTATATAACAATGTCTTTCATATTTTTCAGATCATCCAAGGCCTAGCAGTGACCTATTTTTGAACAGAGGCTGCTCAAGAAACATGATAAAGGTATTTGAGAGTTGAATTAAAGAATGGATGAAGGTAGGAAACAATTGTATATTAGTGCAAGTCTAGAATTTAAGGAATTTTTATGTACGAGCATACTATATACTAATATGCTCTGTAAAATGAAGGCACTAATTTACAAACTCATGTGGATAAAGTTAGCAAATTTTGATATTTAAAATTTCAAGGCTAAAAGATAAAGAGGACACCACAATGTCAGGACCCCAGCACCAACGTGGCGTTTTACAGGGAGCCCTTTATCCGAGCTAGACAAGCTGCAGGAAACACGAACTTCCAACGGGGATAACGGAGGCCAGCAGAGATGGAATCTGCCCGCTGCACATGGCTTCACAAAGAATGGAGCGATAAGTGGGTGGAACAAGAAAGCATTTACCTCTTCTCTTATCAGGGTGAGCACGGCTGTCTTATCTGATTCACTGAGGCAGATGCCATCCAGGGGATTCTCTCCGCCACAGGCCACGGACACGGGGGCCTCCTCCACAGGGGACTCCAACGGTCCCTGGGGGGGAGGGGAGGAGGAAGAGGTTACATTTAATACGTTTAATCTTCAGCTTCTTAATCCCAAGCATCTTTCAATAATTTCCTCATTGCTACATTGATCACAATCTTTAAAAACATGTTTAGAGTAAAAAAACACACACAATAAAAACCCAGCAGGGTTTTTTAAAAATCAAGTCTAGCGACAGTGCTATCTAAAGGAAAAACTTGTTCTAAGGATTATCAGGGTGTCTTGCTTGTCTAACAGATAGCCTAGAGAAGTTTTCTTCTTATCCCCCAAAAGGAAGTGTACTTATCATAGTGGTCAGTCACCAAAGAATACTACCTGGTTCATGGTTCATCTTTCAAGGGGTTTCTGGGGATGATGTGTTCCATGTAAATACATTTCCCAAAGAAAGTCAACTTTTTTTTTTTTTTTACATGTTGATGCTTTGTGTGTCTATGTAGTCACTTTGGATGGAAATATTTCTAAAATTTTTTTTACTAAGTTTCAGGCCTAGGAAGGCAGAAATGGTGAATGTGCCTGACCCCACCCAGCCCGGGCGATTCAGGATCACCAGAAAGTCTTTGCTCTGCAGTGATGTGCCACAGCCCAGTGATGCTGTCAGGTGTGCACCATTACTTGTTCCTGACAACGTGCCCACACTCCCATTTTTGGTTCTTCCTTGCTATTGTTTCAGTCCTGTCTGGCAGCACTGCACTTTCTGATACACCAGCTTGTTTTTATCATAAACTCGGGTTTTAGAGAGCCACATATGGTTAATATTTTATTTTTCACAAGAATATAGGTTCTATACTATCTTCCTTCTGAGAAAGCATTTTTGGTGCTATTTGTCCCTTACCTATACAAGTAAGCTTTTTATATAAATGGGGGGAAAAGTTCATCAAATAACATCCGATATGCCAGCCAAAGTGACCTAGGAAAAATCTTAAATGTCAGTATAACTAATCAATTAATTATTGCTCATAATCAATCAGCTCTCTGGTATTTTGTTTGAACCAGAACTGAACATAAAGTCCAAGGTTCACTTAGACCAGTGGTTTTTAAACTTGCCAGGGTCATTATAGACTCATCCTTTCTCTAAAAAATACTCAAAAATACACAATTGTGCAGACAGCTTCACAGACCTCATCCAGTATAGAAACTCTGGGCTTAGGCCACAGAAAAGGGAAATGCAAAGCCACAGGCTGGCCGTGCCCATCTGCAGCAGCATTTGGGGGAGGGTGGACCACATGCTGACGGAAGTCCAAAACTCCTCAGAAACACTATCTTGGGACAGACCTATCACTAGAGCCAAAAGTCACTTGTGGCGGGAAGCCTCTAAAATGGCTCCCGTGACCCCACCTCCTGGTACCAATCCTCTCGGGCAGTCTCTTCCTTGGAGCAGGCTAGACCTAAGGACTCACTCGTAAAGGACACAATATGGTAAAAGTCATGGCATGTCACTTTGTTTACAGAAAGACCCAGCTTTCACGCAGTGAGAAGCTCCATGGGGAGGTCCATGTGGCAAGGAACTGATGGCTCTGTCAACAGCCAGTGAGGACCCGAGATGGGCCCACAGCCACATGAGTGAGCCTGGAGGTGACCGCAGCCCTGGTCTACACCTTGACTGCAGCCCATGAGACTCGGAGTCATCCCAGGGTTCCTGATCCAAAAATGATGGCGTAATACATGTTTGCTGTGGACAACTGATACACCCCGGACATGTGATCATTCTATTACTTCCTGTGCCATGTCTATCATCAAGAGGCTTTCCCATAGTCTTGCTTCCCGTGTAATTGCCTACAGGGAGATAATGTACTACGTTAGGCAAACACATTTGGTTCGCCTTGTTACATTTCCGATTCTAAATTAATACCTTTTAAAGTCTGTCTTTTGTGAGTGTTTATTACTCTAAGCCAGAATCCCCATCTCTAGGAACTAACTTCCCTGTGCCTCCCATGACCCTTGTGTTATCAAGGATGTGACCATTCTATTAACTTGGTTTTCTTAGTAAGGAAAATATCAGTATCTATTCTAGAGTTCTTTAAGTCGTTTTGTTTTTCATCAGCACAGCTTCAGCTTTCCTGCCACCTGCCACGCAGCCGATGAGTCCCGGCTCCCACAGCCCCTAGGACCACATTCTAGTACAGCCGTGGACAAACTATGGCCCGCGGGCCGGATCCAGCCCGTTTGAAATGAATAAAACTAAAAAAAAAAGACCGTACCCTTTTATGTAATGATGTTTACTTTGAATTTATATTAGTTCACACAAACACTCCATCCATGCTTTTGTTCCGGCCCTCCAGTCCAGTTTAAGAACCCATTGTGGCCTCGAGTCAAAAAGTTGCCCACCCCTGTTCTAGTATAACCTTCACCACAGGCGGGGTGTCGTTTTCATTCTGTACCTGTTGCCAGTGCTGTTCAAAATAAATATAATGCAAGCCATATGCAATTTAAAAATTCTCAGCAGCCACATTGAAAAAAGTAAAAAGAAACAGGTGAGAATCATTTTAATAACATAGTTTAGTTAGCCCAAAATATTATCATCTCAACATGAAATCAATATAAAGTTAGAGACATTTTACCTCCCTTCGTTTTATGCAAGTCATCAAAAACTGGTTGTATTTTTACACTTACAGGACATCTCATTCGGACTAGCTACATCAAGTGCTCAGCTGCACATGCACTAGGGGTTGCTGTCCGAGAATCTCGGGATAGAGTGTGAGCCCCTCAAGTGAAGAAGCTGTGTTTTATTTATATTTCATCCCCATCACCAAACAATGGCCATAATTTATTTAAAGATTTAACATGAGCTTCGAAACAAATGCTAAAAAAACCTGAGCTCCACTTAACTCCCCCCTCACCTGCCAAGTTTAGGAACTTACAGGCACGGCAGATCCATCTTTCTCCATTTTCTGGCACGTCTCTTTTTCTACGCCTAAAACACAGAGTCATTTTTGTAGTTAACCCAAGCAGCTGGTTCCTCCCCTTCCTAGTGAAAGGCACTGGGAAACCCCCAGCACAGGCCCAGAATGACATCTATAACACACGAACGCACCCCAAGTTCTCACAGGGGCGCTGGCTTTCTATTGATCACTGTGTTGTCCATGTTAAAAGTCCAAAATATTTAGAAGAAAGAGGAGTGCGGAGTTAGTCAGTCATAAATGAATCCACAATCTTCAGGTGCAAAGAACAGCAAGTCTGTCCTTTGTGCCCATGTGCTAACCATGGGATTATTTCAGTGAGAGGAAACACTGAATGCTGTTTTATTACCAACGTCTTAAACTCCAGCCCAAAAGGGTACCCTCAATCTAAGGAGTATAGCAGTAGCAGATAAAACAATAAGCTCCAAATTGCAATACCCACAAAACTAAATTCATTTTGTACCTCCCACTCTACCACCAGAGACATTTTAAAAAACCTAACACTAGATGTTTTCTAATTAAAGGAATAAGCTCTCACTGAAGACAATTTTTTTTAAATTGTTATTTAGAGAGAGGAAGGAAGAGGGAGAGGGAGAGGGAGAGGGAGAGGGAGAGGGAGAGGGAGAGGGAGAGGGAGAGGGAGAGAGAGACCAACATGAGAGTGAAACATCCTATACACCCTGCACTAGAAATAGAGCCTGCAACCTGGGCATGTGCCCTGACCGGGAATCAAACTGGCAACTCTTCAGTGCACGGGATAATGCCCAACCAACTGAGCCACAATGACCAGGACTAAACACAATTTTAAAATATTTTAAAATTTTATAAGACTACAATCTCCCACAAAGCAATAACAAATTATTATTTTAGCAAATTCTGTCTATAATGAATTATTTTTAAAACACAACTGTGACTATTCTGCTTAAAAACCTTCAATGGCCCTGGCTGGTTTGGCTCATGGATAGAATGTCGGCCTGCGGACTGAAGGGTCCTGGGTTCCATTCCGGTCAAGGGCACATGCCCAGGTTGCAGGCTCGATCCCCAGTAGGGGGCGTGCGGGAGGCAGTCGATCAATGATTTCCTCTCATCATTGATGTTTCCCTCTCTCCTTCACCCTTCCTCTCTATCAATAAAAATGTATTTAAAAAAAGAAAAGAAAAAACCTTCGATGGCTCCCCTCCACGTACAGAAGCAAGCCCCAAATCCTCAGTACCACTTCATTTTCCCACTTACCCTGTCCTCACAGAGCTACTGGGCATTTTACCCACATGGCAGGTTCCTTCCCAACCCAGAGAGAGACGCTCGTTCTCTGGTGCACATCTATGTATCTATCAAACCAAGCTCCAAGGTGACTTTCCCCAGTAAATGTTCTCTGATTCATCTGACAGGGTCAGTACACCTGTCCACCTCACACTCCCACCCGCATGACCACAGCCTCTGCTTCTCCCCTGATATGGATAATCAGTTACACACAGTGACATACTACCTACCCACTATGAGGACAGCACTGTATCTAACAGAACTCCAGCTCTACAAATTTGTTGCAGGAATTTCCTCCGAGTGAGGAAGAATATAATTCAACAAATATCTACTATGCACCTGCAGCCGAGGAAATTCAAAGATGAATCACTCATAGTCCTTAACCTTGAGAAGCTTATCAAAGATCCCTTCTATAATGAATACACAAAACGCGAATGGTAAGAAGAAATGTGCTGGGAGCATAAAGCATGGTGGGAGCCAAGTGATGTTTTTGAAATAGACCCAAAAGGATGGGCAGAATTTCTATAGGAGATGGCAAAGGAAGATATTTCAAATAAGAGAAATAAGTGTAGCCCACCTAACTGAGTAAGGTGGTATAAAGGGAAATGGCAAATGAAATCTTGGGAAAGAAGTCAGAGCAGAAAGAGGCCTGGGAAGAAATCTGGAATAGTGCCTGGCACGTTTATTTTATAGATGAAAAACTGAGACCTGGGGGCAGGGAGGAGGCTGGAAGAAAAACTCTCACAAAGTCCTGATTTCTACCCGCTTCCCTCATTTGATGAGAGATCATGATTTCTTAAATTCTAGGTATAAAAACGCCAAATTAAATTATGTTGATTTTTTTTAATAATGTTTAATATAGTCAGGAACATGGTTCTAAACATTTCACAAGTCAAGTTTAGGGTCACAGATACAACTTGGGACCTAGAAGGAGGGCCTCCGCTCTACAATGTTCTGAGAGTCCAACAGCAAGAAGGTTAGCAAGAAAGTTAGTCTATATAGGTTCTTATTTGGACATTAAGAAGGATTTTATAGGGCATCGGTTAATTTCAGTCTACCACATCTGTGAGCAGGACAATTTATAATGGTCTAGTGCTGTGGTCAGCAAACTGCAGCTCGCAAGCCACATGCGGCTCTTTGGCCCCTTCAGTGTGGCTCTTCCACAAAATACCGACTTCTGCACATGGGCCACGAAGTTTCAATCGCACTGTACATGTGCACCTGCACGTGGTATTTTGTGGACGAGCCACACTCAAGGGGCCAAAGAGCCGCACGTGGCTCGCGAGCCGCAGTTTGCCGACCACTGGTCTAGTGTAATGAAAACAAGCTCTTTGTACTTTAGCTTTGAGATGAAAAGACCATGGAACCTACTGCTAAGGTCTGAATCCTAGTTCTACCATTTACTAGACATTTACAAGTGACCTGGGCCAAGTTACTTAACTTCTGTGTCTCACTTTCCTTCTCCGAAAAATGGGGAAAAAATAATACGTAGCAAAGAGTAGTGAGTTAATACATGGAAAGCACTTAGAACAATGCCTGCACATGGTAAGGAATTACACGTTAGTTATTATTTCTGTAAGTTGAACAAGGAGCACTATAATCACATCATGGTTACAGGCCACTATACTTTGAGGTGTAGCCACATTAAAATAAATTATAAAAAATTATTATAATTTTATAATAAATTATAAAAAATTTCAAGCAGCCCCACACATTAGTGCATCCAGTACATCCTGCCACACTAATCCGTATGTCCCTGGTATTTGATAAGACACCCTTTTTGTGTCTCTTTTCTAGGTGAAGAAGCAAAGCTTAGATCAGAATCCAAATTCTCTAAGGCGTCTCAGCTTTAGGCTTTCAGGCATTTCTATGCTATGTACATTAGAAAGATGAATACATACTTCCATACCTGCTTCTGAGGATGAAAACGCATGATTTATGGTAGACACGGGAACATTGGAACATTCAAAGTACTCCAGGTCTTCCTCTGGCTCACCTTTCACCTCGGCCCCGGCTGATTTCTGACCAGATGAAGTGGATGCCAGTTTCTCCTCATCGGTAGCATGGCCGTCCCTATTAGAAATGTCTGAACTCTGGGAGATCACTGCTCCTTCATCCTGGGAAAGGCAACAGAGAAGATGACCATTAGGTAGGGAAAGGGACATCTCACAGCAGCCACTATTTGCTTAGAATTAACCACAGATCTGAGTACAGATGAAGGAAGAAGCTGGAGTCCTTCAATCACAGAATGTTGCCTTTTTCTAGCACCGAGCTTTTCTGCTTCAAATCTGAGGTTTGACAAATTAACCTTCTCTAGCCTAAATTTATGAGAAAGAAGTTTAAGTGGTCCAAGGCAGTGGTTTCAAATATTCTGCTCATAAGCCTCATAAATTAAACCAAAAAAAATCTATGTACCCCACTGTATTCCCAAGTGCCATCTAAAATCTGTTCAGCGTCAGTTTAAATAATTTCAAAGGATATAATATCTAATATAGTTTAAATACTACCATGCTTAATTCAATGTAATTATTCTAATGATTTGATATCCTACAGTGTATTTAAAATTGGACACGAACAACCTCTTTAATAGTCAGAAATGTACATCATTCCTTTTCCTCTCTGAACCTACACTTCCCAGTCTACTTCACTTCCATCAACTCAGGTTCTCCTATTTGGTTGAAAGTGATGAGTTGGAAAATCATCTTTTTTTAAAAATATTTTTTATTGATTTTTTACAGAGAGGAAGGGAGAGGGATAGAGAGTCAGAAACATCGATGAGAGAGAAACATTGACCAGCCGCCTCCTGCACACCCCCCACTGGGGATGTGCCCTCAACCAAGGTACATGCCCCTGACTGGAACCGAACCCGGGACCCTTCAGTCCGCAGGCCGACGCTCTATTTACTGAGCCAAACCTGTCAGGGCAATCATCTGACTTTAAAAAAAACATTATCCGCTCACTGGAATCAATCACCTCCTTAAAACCTACATCAATATTTCAATCTCCCCTTTGTTTGGTGCCCCAGAGATTTCACACCCAGTGGTGATTTGAAATGGGTGAGAGGGAACCATAAAATAATGGGAAAGGGGAATTGTGAAAGGGTTTCCTTGTCCTGAGAGGCCTTTTCAGATTAGTTTAGGATGCTGGTTCTCATAAATCTGAATATTCCAATACCCAGTGGGAAGTCTCCATTAACCACCATGCCCCACCCTGGGGGTGGGGAAATGCATTCGTAGTTTGGGGACCACTGGTCTAAGAGATGTTCTGGTGATAGACAGACTTACCTGTGAACACCCATCCAAAGCAAGAGACTGCGTTTCATATTTCTTCACCTTACAGCCACTCCTGAAAGAAAAACAAATTAACCAAGCTGGTTGGGAATCTCACTAACTTCCGAGCTATGAGATGGAGCAGTGAGCAGTGTGTGCAGATAGAAGCCAAGGCATACAGCACCACACAAGTCGTACATCTACATGTCAGAGATGGAGCAGCTTTTACATCTCTGAATCTTCTCTGGAGAGACGGGGCAAGCAAAGAACTACAGTCAATTCATTCTCTGAAAAGACCTCCTCAAGAGGAGGAGTTTTTCATTACATACCACCACAGCCTTTGAGAGAGCAGACTTAGCAGAGACATTCAGTTCATCTGATCCTCACTCACTTGGGCTTTGGCATTCATTAGAAAAATTACCACGCTGGACTAGATTCTTTAAAAAATTCTTTATTGCACTAAAAGCCATAGAAGTCTAATGAGACAACTCCGGACATGTGTGCTAACAAAGTAGAACTGGGGTTAACAGAAAGTATAAAAAGGAAAATATCTGTGTAAACTATTACCATTCCTATTAAATAGTAAGATGGAAAGAACGTTATGGCTGGAACCAGGGAAAACTCAAACCAATTTGTGATCCAAAGACTAGTTCAAATTCTTTTGTTTGAATGAACTTAAAATTTCCAGTAATGCGACTCTGACAAAAAAAAAATAATAATTTGCAACTTTTTTTTCTTGTGTGGGGAAACAAAACAAAAAAAAAAAAGGCAAGCGCATATGTTACCAAAACGTGCACAACCACTATCGGGCTCATGATTTTCTTTCCTAATGCTTGAGTGCCACCCCTTGCCACCAAACTCAAGTTGGTCCACAAGAATTCCAATCATAGTATGATGTCTCCATTTTATCCCCTGCTCCAACCCAGCAGCCTTATTCTATCGAGAAAGCCAATTATTTCCAACATTAAATAGCAGAGCAGTGCCTGAAACCCCTGCCAGATGATCTTTGGGGCCAAGCCAGCATTCGGTATCAAAGCGCCACACAGGCGTGCCAAGGCAGAGAGCGCAAGCTCACGCACCTAAGGTTGGAAGGCCGATCGCCACTCCTTCGGGTACAGACAATCACAAGGCTAAGCTGACTCATGAAGTGGCAAATGAAATGCAAAAAATAATCAGAAGGTCAAACTCAGAACCGAAGCCAACATGCTGTGGAGAGGTGGTCTGGGAGGAGGGTAGAGGAACTGCCAACAGTCCCAGGGACAAACAGAAACCACAGTAGAGGTACTTACAACAGAAAACAGAGAAATTTCACTTGTTCAGTAGTCCTGAGGCACCAACAAAATGAGAAACAGGAAAGAGACAGACAGATGGAGAAAAAAATCATGTAAAGCCTGGAATATTTATCTCTAGTCCGGTAGATGTAAAGGCTGCAAAGTTCTTTCTATGAGGTGAGATACAAATTTAAAATGTCATATTTATGAATGTTATCACTGGTGAGTGAATGATTGTCAGGAACCTCATCTGTAATGAGTAAGAGTGATAGAAGCATTCAGAAATGCCACATATTCAAGTTTATAGATGAAAAAGTAAGCATTTCACTGCTGAACACATTTACTCTTAAATGTCTAGTCAGCTAAGGCAATGCATGAATAAAAATAAAGTTGAAGATGCATCTGCTTCTATCTGCTGTAGGTGTGTGTCACTAGACACCTTAAATGATTTTTCATACTTTATTTGGTCCACAAAAATCCTAATCATAGGATGATGTCTCCATTTCATAGAAGAATCTGAGACACCAATTACATACATCTTTTAAAAAGTCACACAAGTACCCTGCTAACAGAACTTCTAACTCTCCACTAGATTCTACCACCACAAGTATATTTTCAGTCTTTCCTACCAATAGGGTTTTGCTAAACAAAATCCCAGTTACACAAAGGTCAAGCACCCTTCTCAGAGGCAAGAGTTTTGATTGCATAGAATTTTTAAAAAAATCTGTAAGGTATATTATTAGATCAAGAAGTCCATTCACCAAAAACAGAATAGGAGGACAATGCTACCAGGTGAGGATGGTAGGACTCAAGAGAGGGTGCTTCTTGCTACGGAAAATAAGGTGTAGGATCAATTTCCCTCCCTTTGATCTAATCTCATCTAACATGAATGCAATGGCTACATGCCTTCAACATGTGTCGGAAGGAAGGCTCCCAAATGAAATGACTTATCAACCTTGCTGGGCAGAGACACCCCATATATAGGATATCCCATATCAGGAAGCACCAAGGCAATGAGCTGGCCAACACATACCCCAAGCACTGTCTCGACAATAGTAACTAACCTTAGACACAGAAGAGCACTTTGAGGACACCTGATCAATCATCTTTTTCAGCAACCATTTAACTGTTCATATATAATCAGAGAACAGATCAACAAGTATTACTGACATCTTATTCCCCTAGATCAGTGGTTCTCAACCTTCCTAATGCTGTGACCCTTTAATACAGTTCCTCATGTTGTGGTGACCCCCAACCATAAAATTATTTTCGTTGCTACTTCATAACTGTAATTTTGCTACTGTTATGAATCGTAATGTAAATATCTGATATGCAGGATGTATTTTCATTGTTACAAATTGAACATAATTAAACCGTAGTGATTAATTACAAAAACAATATGTAATTATATATGTGTTTTCTGATGGTCTTAGGCGACCCCTGTGAAAGGGTCGTTCGACCCCCAAAGGGGTCTCGACCCACAGGTTGAGAACCGCTGCCCTAGATATTCTGAAGTTGCGGAAGAACTGATTCCTACATTGCTCGAGCTTCTTGGTCCAGATTGATACTTTCTGCTCTTTAAACCTTTCCCTTTAGGATAATACACCACACCATCCAGCATTTTTCTTGAAGTCATAGTAATACTAAAAATTTCTTCCCTAATGATCTATGGTGACAATTAAAAACATGATATTTCTTCTCAACTTCCTTTTTCATACTTCATCTTCTATGTCATTGATCTCTCTTATATTCAATTTTTAGCAAAATGCCACAATGTCACAAAGGGGTATATTGTCACCACTTAGTTTTGTGATGAGGGAACCCTATAACAAATTTAACATGAAACTTGACATGGACTGTGGCCTGAGGTCATCACTCTGAAAACTCCAAGGAGCTTGCAAAAGTGGCTCTAGATTTCCCAGGGCAAGGGGTAGGGTAGGGGTAGTGTCACAACACACAACGAAAGTCTAGTCAGATTTCTGTCATTGTTTAAAATATTCCTGATTCTTATTGGAAATTCACCTCCTTGCTGATGGAACCACAAGCTAACCATAAAGACATAAGAATTCTCCCCAACTTTCAGTGGTTTGTTTTCCAAAAAAATCACAGCTTTCTGTTTTAAGTGAAAAACTTCTATAAGACCCTTTTGGACCATTTTCTATAAGTTCTTGACACTAGACAGTTAATCTGTAGGCTTGGAATTTTTGTTTTATCCATAGAGAATCTGAAGATGGTGGCTAGCATATCACTTGAATTCTGTAAGTAAAGCGACTCCTGACAGCCCAGATAGGATTTTTGAAAGCCATCAAATCTCTACCTGCCCATCTTGTTAAACAGGACGAAAGTACCAAAAGTAGGGGTGGTAGGGTGGGGAAAGAGCTCAGTTGAATAAGCTGAGGATTCATAAACCAGGCAGCCATTGAAAAAGGAAACCTCTGGTATTTGATTCCACACAAAAGTTTGCTTTAAAACAGTGAAGACTGCAATATGAAGTCGTAAGCTTTGTGTCTGCCCACCTGCACCTCAAAGATAACTCCAGATCACCAAAACCCACAGCAGCCGGCTGCCAAACTTTCAGAGTGTACACAGAACACAACACCCACACCCCTCATCACTCACGTTATTAAACGCGACTTTGCCTTCTTGGGTGATTCTAAGGTTTCATTAACATGATTACCAGCAGGAGAACAACAGTCACCATTTGTTAAAGCTGTAGTTGGTTTAAAGGGATCCGTGGATTCATCAAAGTGGTAGGACCCCTTAGAGGAGAGGGGAGGGGAGTCCTGCAGTGCGGACTGGCCACCCAGGGGACTGAAACTGGGATTCTGCTTAGAAGACGCTTGGGAGAGAGAGGCATCGTCTGTGGCTTGGTCCGGGGGCGGTTCTGAACCTTTGGTGCCTACTGGCTTACTGATGCCATCTTTCTGTACCTTTGGAGGCAGTTTGTTACCCAGTTTCCTGCCAAGTTTTCTTGGAAGGCCTTTCCTGGATTCTACACTTTCTACATCTTCTATGAAATCGAACTCCAGCTTCAGAGGTGAGCTCCTTGACTCCTCCAGCAGCTCCACCCCGGAATCATTGGTGTCACTACTGGGAGTGCTGCTTGTTTCCCTAACGTCAGGGGCAGATTTCTGAGTCCTGGCATCTCCTAGCAAAGGACTTGTGTTCCCATCCATTTCATCAGGATAGGATGCCTGGGGGAGAGGCATGCCCTCCATGGAAGTTTCTGAGAACTCGCCAACTGTTTTCTTCCTCAGAGAGATGGGTTTGGGCTTTCTCAGCTTGCTTCTGCTGGGCACTGGCTCCGGACAGGAGTTCCCACTCTTCAGGTCAGCTTCTGTGGAAGCCTCCAGTGTAACCCCCATGGTGCTTTCTGTCATCGCCTTGTCCTGGATGGCTTCTGGCGGGCTGGAGGGCAGAGCCTCGCCTGAGATGGCAGTTACACAGCCATATGCTGCTTCTGTCCCAAGAGCTGCCTCTGAGTTATCCGTGGACTTGGTTGCTATTGAAAATGGCCTCACTACTGAAATTTTGCTACTATCGTGTTCAGGTTCTTCTTTGAAATCCCTGACGGAGTAAGAATCAATAGCCTGCTGTGAAACCTCATTTTCTGAGGGTCTAGAATGAGTCTCAGATGAACATTTTGCAACCACTTCTGCTATCAGCTGTTCATCAACTTCTTGTGAGTCTAAAACAAAACACAAAAGCCATCTATTAAAGAATGATCTTTTTGGCATTGGTAAATATTCTCTACTTGCTGAATCCACATAGACAAGTAGGCTCTTTCCTCTTTGCATTTGTTAAGCATCTCTATGGCAGCACAACCACAAAAGGAAGAGCCGGTACTGCACCCAAAAGTGAATTTTCCATTCCCAAGCTATTACCCAAATTATACAAATAATAATTATACCAAACAGAGCTACTTAGGAAAAGGCTAGTAGATCATGGTGCACTGCAAAGCATATGATTGATGTTAAAATTCTGCAGGTTAAAATGACGGATCTGGAAGAAACTTTAGATGCTGACAGCTCAGGTGCAGGGGATCTGGCACTGACAGTTCCGGGGCACTGCCTAATAGTCCCAGGTTCCAGATTTAACACAGCAAGCAGATGTTAATTTTTGGATGTTAAAGACAAGTACTCCCTCTTCCCCAGAATGGAATTTAAATAATTCAACTGTTTCAAAATTAATTCAGCCAGCTCAGAATAACTTCTCTCTAGACTGAAAACCTAAAAGAACCAAATAAAATTAAAAAAATTTGAAAGAGCAGACACAGAAATGGCTTTAAAAAACAAATAGCCCTTATTTTGCTAAGACAATAAGTCATAAAATAATAACGTCATTTTTTCTTTATAAGGGCTTTCTGAGTTGGGTCAGGAATTCTCTCAAATCACTTGTAAAAAATAAAGATTCTTTTTAATTGGGGGTCTTAGTAGGAGAATTGCTTTAATTAGGAAGGTGTAATGAAGGTATTTATTTAAAGCACAAACTAAAATCGCGCTTTCCTGACTTAAATATCTGAAATAATGATAGAGTAGCAGCAAAAACTGAATAAGCTGGTTATTACCACAGTATCTCATGACTTTAAAGGAAACTCAGAGATGACCCACTAAACCAAATCCTAATCCTAATCCTAATGCAGGATCAAAAACCTGAGCATCGCTGAAAAAGTTTTGGAAAGTACTCACACACCTTTTTACATGACTCTTTTATGACTGGGATTGGCAGTGGCTTCTGCCTGTAGCTCTAGGAAATAAAGGTTTTTACCTATTGTATCAGAAATCATGCCACCTACCAGGGTGGCATGGGGCAGGAAAACCAACATCCTCATCTGAATTCAGCCCCCCACACTGAGCAGGGGGGAAAGGAGCTCCACCAAGAAGACACCACCCCGCCTGGCATGTCTTGGCTAGCTCAAGCCAGGTGCCAGGTAAGTAAACTTGCCAGTCAGTCCTACACCTCGGCCCTGCAGACCCCACCTTGGTCTATATCTTCAGTCACCAGCAGAAAGTACTGGCGGGGCGGGAGAAGATTGCTCATTGACTTAAACCTGTTTTGGGAATCATGAGAACATCAAGCAAGAAAACTAATTAATCACATAACTCAACAAGGTATTCTGAGTAAGACTTTTTAAAAATATATTTCATTGATTTTTTTACAGAGAGGAAGGGAGAGGGATAGAGAGTTAGAAACATCGATGAGAGAGAAACATCGATCAGCTGCCTCCTGCACACCTCCTACTGGGGATGTGCCCGCAACCAAGGTACATGCCCTTGACCGGAATCGAACCTGGGACTCTTCAGTCCGCAGGCCGACACTCTATCCACTGAGCCAAACCAGTCAGGGCAAGATTTTTTTAATTTATGCTCTAAACAGTACATGTCCAACACCAGTTGACCCCACATCCCTAAGTGCTGCCGTAAGATAGAACCTAACCTTCAAGCATCACACCACAGGTAACTTTCACTAAGTAAAACACCCATTCTCAGTAGGCTCCAGTTCCCAAACTTCCATCAGTGAAGAGTTCTAGCCACAGCTGTCAGTCCCTGTTTCTAATCTGAAAGCACTGTTGTGTAACTAACCTACCTCTCTTCATCCTTCCATTTTTAATAAATCCTGGATTCCTTAAAATCTTCCTCCAGGGAACTGAAGAGCTCTCTCCCTGAAATGAGTTTGATGAGTCTGACAAGCACTGCACTGCCTGGTGGCTTGGTGAACACAGACAGCGATTAGATCAGTAGATGAATTCAAAGCAAACACAGAGGAAATTAAAAAATAGACCACCATTTCCACTTCTGCCACGTCTGCTGCTGTTAATGAAACTTCCTTTCCATAGTCAGCCTCCCATAAATCTAAAAGGTGTGAATTGCCCATGGATGCTCTCAAACAGCAGATCTCTCCTATATTCATTCAGGATGTAGACTATTCTGTAAAAAGAAATGTTTCCTTTGCCCTTTATATATTTTTAAAAGAAAAGGCATGAAATGCCAAAAACCTTAAAGATTAAAGTACCACCCTGGGGCGGGGAGGTGGGGGGGGAAGGCCAGGGGAAGGTCAATGGGGGGAAAAAAGGAGACATATGTACTACTATTTGTAATACTTTAAACAATAAAATAAAATTTTAAAAAAAGATTAACAGCTAGACATTCGGGTTTGCACTCCAGTATAAGGAAAACATACTGCGTTAAAATACAAGCTTATGAAAAACCTTGAAAGCCTTAGATTAGAAGAGGGGAAATGCCATTATCACAAATATATTTGAAACTCAGAAATGTATTCAGCTGAAATATTCTGAGAACCAACTGACTAGCTGCTTTCACATGTATAATCTCATTTTAGAAGAAAGAAAACCACAACCACTTGGAAAATAATGTGTATTACTTCAGATTTGGCATTATTTTCAAGTATGCTTGACTTTTCCCCCTCAGGTTTTAACTTTTTGGTGAAGCATTGTCTGCAAACTCCTTTTAGATCTATCCCTTCCTGTCCTTTAGCTACAGATGGTCCCCTGTATGAGTTTTATTTGACATGTAAAGTGAGAAAGCTGCCAAAATTTAAACAGGCTTCCTGTATGGCACAGATACACACCCTGGCCTTTTTCTAACCTCAAAATCCACAAATAGTATCTCACATCCAAGTCTAAGATACAAGGTCTGAATCTAAGGCAAAAGTCTTAAAACAAAATCTCAGAACCAATGCATGAAAATGAATGTCTTTTACAGTAATTCAAGAAGGGTTCTTAGATAAATTTTCAGAGGGTCCATGAAGACTCTGAAACTCAATGAAAAATCATGTGAGGGCATTGTTTGGTGGAGAAAATCCACAGCCTACCATTTAGGAGCCACTGTGTTTAGGGTCCTCAAAAGGGCCCCTGTCATCGCTGTATAGTTATAACTTCAATCCCTGCCCCCAGTCACTACACTGGGATTTAAAAAACTCTTAAACTACTGAGGGAGGGGGAGGGGGGAAATCTCAACATCAAAGAATGAAACTTGTCACCTCTGAGAACATTCAAAAGGAATGTGTTACAAGTGCTGTTTTAAGCAATTTTAAGTGTGGACTAAATCCTTGAGAGGGAACACTCACTAAAACACAAGTTCAAATAGGTTTGTTTAAACAAAATTCAGTCACCTTACTTCATACATGTTGACATTAAGACTGCACTAAAGGGTGGACTAAAGGGACACTAAATATCAAGTGAAAGTTGGAGGGGGTATGGTCTGGTCAGCACACTGGGTGTGGTAGGAAGTGACTTGGGCAGGCTACCGTGGAAAAGAATCAAACCCCTAGGAACAAGCTTCAGAAAATAACTTCCTTTTCTGAAGGCTGGTTCAGGTTTGTTGTGCAGAGTGAAGTCATAAGGTCAGGAGGCAGCCAAACTTTGGCCTAAGTCTGCAGAACGTTCTCCACTCTTTATTTACATGAAGCTCTTCTCCTCTAATAACTACTGGCTATTTAAAATACATTGATTTGAAGGGGGAATCAAATTGCTAGCCTGCCCAGTGACCCTGACTTTGGGATGGCCCCATCCAGGCATTGTGAAGCCCTGTTAGACAGGCTCACACACCAGATGTGCAGGAAACACCGGAGTCATCACCACTAGACAATAAGTTGCCTCCCACAAAATCTGGTATAAAGTGAAAAACCAATGTGAAGGAAGAAAAAGGAGGAAGTCGAGCACTGACTACTGTGTAGGCATGGTGATGAGCATTTTACAAACAAAAACTCATGCAGTCAGAATTAGAGAACACACAGGAAGAATTTCAGTTCTTAAGGACTTTACAAATTGGCGGGAGTAAGCAACCAGAGCAATCCTCCTCACCACTTCCCATGTAAAATAATACTCCTGGTGCCTTCCATTAAACTAAAATTAATAAATTCCATATGATAAAGGGTATATAAATAAGCAATTTTTTAAAAAATGGCCAAAACAAATTTTAAAAATATGCTCACTTTAAATTCATATACAATTAATAAACAGGATACCATTTTTAACCTATCAGATTTGTAAAATTAAAATATCAATGAGTGGCAAGGGGGCCAGTAGGCACTCTCATAGGTTTCATGGTAAATAGCATCATGGGAATCTTTCAGGAAGTATTTAGCAGTATCTACCAAAATCCAAAATGAATTGATTCTTTAACTCATCAATTCCACTGCTATAGAATTTATTTTAAATATGCACACAAAGAGGGCTAAACACACATATGTACAAGGATGAGGATGTTCACTTAAGTGTGATATTAAAAAGTATTCACTTTTTTGTGTTATTATAAAATATCATAGGAGACTGATAGATGATTTAAGGTGCAACATTACACTGGAATATTATATGGGTGGTAACAATGAAGTAGACCTGTACATGCTAATACAGGAGGATCTCAAAGACATGGTGTAGGGAAAGAGCAAAGGAAAGAACAGTGTATTAAAGTATGCATCACTATTCATGTTAAACATATAAAGACATATAAAACTGATATTCAGAGGCCCAGAATCTTTCTTAGTAAGGAGAAAAATCTCTTCTACTCAGAACTTAATCCCATTCTACCCATTTCTCTTATCTCAATTTCACCATAGGGTCCCTATTTCTAATCCCAACGTGCTCCACCTCTACTTTTTCCAAGACCATTGGTTAGGCAAAGTCTTCTTAGATATGACAGCAATAGATAATATGAACTTTATCAAAAT